GGCCCCAGCTCCCCCTAAATTAGTTGCACCACCACTCCCCCAAAAAGTAGGCAATGCCAGTCAGAGACAGAGCCAGAATACTGCTCTCCAACCTCCCATGAGGCGTAGTCTGCCTGCAGTCCCAGGACCTGAAAACACTGATGCTTCAAGCAGAGAAAGTCTGTCAGTGATGTCCAGGGATGGAGCAAGGAAGGTGTTGCACCCATCACCTACACCGAGACCCAATAGCCAAATGGACTGGGATAACACACCACGGAGTGATCAAAGAGAAGTGCAAGTCACTGCAGACAAAGAGGCACCCACAGCCAAACCTAGACAGAGGGCAAGTGGCAAGGAGCCAGTTCAGCAAGAAGATCTTGCTGGGACACCGGCAGTCTCGAACAGTCACATCCAAACATCTAGTTCACATATGAGCAGCATGAACACAAACAACAGACAAGCAAAGGACAACTTTGAGTTTGATCCATTTCCCATCACTGAGCTTCTTCCCAAAGACCCATGGGCAAAGCCAAAGCAGAACCAAGAAGTAGATGGCCTTTTTACTGGCAGTGTGAAAAAAGAGCAGAAAGTTGAAGATCGGGGAATGACACCTGACGATCTTGATCAAATCTTTAACCAAGAGAAACAGATGGATCCATTTGCTGATTTTAATGGCAGCGATTCAAACAAACACAGTGACAGCAGGAAAAAAGATGAAGATTCAAAGCCAGACAGTCCTGCTTTCCAAAGAAGGAATTCACAGAGACGAGTTAAACAGAATCCTCCATCCACAACTCACTCGGACAATAAGCCTTCCAAGCCTCAACAACAACCCGCACCTAAAGCAGAAACAACCACAACAACAGCTTATCGGGCCGTGTCTGCAAGAGGTGTCAGGAATGAGCCTGTCACACCGAAGCTTCCAGCTGATGTGAAAACACAAGGCAAATCTTATGGAGGAGAGGATCAGTTTGGGGCTGAACCTTTTACCTCTGCCTTGATTGAGTCCCTCCCCGTAGTTATGGAAGAACCGGCTTCTCAGGCAGGAGGCTTGTCTGGTGGAAAGGCGCCTTTGCGAGCGTGGGTCTTACCCTCTGACACTCAACCTGTCAGTGCTCAGAATAGCAATGGAGGTGGGCTAGCCTTAACTCCCCGCAGGTGAGATTACACAGGCTGCTTACAAAGAATGCATTTGTGGACTGGTGATCTAGACTTTGCATATGGTATCTGGTTGCTGCTGTTGTATTGGGAGACAGATAAGGTGTTGGGATTTACCTTGGGTATGACTATTTCGGAGCTTGTGATTTCAGAGCAACTTTTGATCTTAGTGGGATGCTTTGAAAGATTTGCAAAACACCAGATTGAATTTGAATGTATTTTTATTTGATTGAGACAATACAATTTAACATGGATTCCAATACAGAGCATGCACAGAGAGTTTATGGCTACTGCTAGTTTTCAGCTCTTGTCCCTAGTTTGATTTTCACATGGACAGTGTGATTAAATTATACAACTTTCAGTATCATAAACCACAATAAATATAATAAAACAGAGCGCTGCAGGAATGAGTCCCAAAATTAGCATTTTTGCACTCCTGGTTCCTTCGTCACAAAGTCAGGGTTTTTGGTTAGATGCCTGAATTACAGTAAGGTCTGTGGTTAACACAAGCTTAAGAGTCTTTCATGTTTTGTTCTACGACATAAAATACATCAGTAAAAAACAGGCAGTTGCAGTTACACTTCAGAACCTTCAAAAGTGGTTTTCATTTGTGAAGATTATGTTGCTGAACAAAATGTGCAAGTATCATTTGTTTGCCACGGAGCTTATGTTCTGCAGTAATCAAAAATCCAATGGAAAAATCCCATTGGCATTCTATCGAGGGAACCAGGGTGAAGCTAACTCTGGGAAGGTCTATAAAAAAACAAACAAAAAAAAACAGCATTCCTTCAGTGCTCTATAAAAATGCATTTAAATTACAAGTTGTGATTCATCAAAACAGGAAAAACGCCAAGGGGGTGCACACTTTTGCATGGCATTTTATTTACATCACATTATACACATTACACAATACACCATTGCACATAGACCCTAACACCCTGGTAATTAACAGCACAATTTGCTAAAACTAATTAAATGATTAAATCCTTTTGTCCTGCTTATAATTGTGTTTTTGTGCATATTATTCTACTTACATGCAGTAATCTGCTTGAGGGCTTTATAACAATGTATATTCTTTATTTGCAGGCCTCATCCTGTGAAGCCCATGAGCTCAGAGAGTCAGCAACCCATCAGCACCCCTGCTGTGAAAGAGATAAAGGTCCGTGACAGTACACCAGGAAAGATTCAGGTGCGGATTTGTTGGCATTCTGATAACAAACTGGGAGCAAAACACAAACACACTTGTTTGCACATCCTCTCACAGCAAGCAAATTGTTTTTTTTTTCTGCAGGAATTCTGGGACATTATACATGAACTCTCTATTCACCCTTTGAATTAATCCACATTACGCACATTTACAAGTCAAACGTCTCGAGTTAGTCCTAAAAGTGTTCCTTGTATTGAAATAATATATAAAATCTAAAAAGGACTGCATCAAAGAGAATATTTTTTACACATCTGAAATCTCATTGCAGTCAACCCTGAAATACTGTGAAATATTTAGCTCAAAGGTATATTTTTGACCTTTGAAATAGCAGTTTGACAAAAAGAATTCCTATCAAGAGGTCTACTTGTCTACACTTTTGCTTGGTTTTTAAAAAATACGAGTAAAACTCAATCTGCTGACAAAGGCCACAAGATGTGGCTGAAAGCTGTGACTAGGTAAGTGGATGATGTGATGGGAATTTGTTTTGTTAAAACATTATGTTTTAATAGTGCAAATAGGGTTATAAAAGCATCTTTACAAAACCTTCTCAAAGGACAAGTTAAAGAGCCCTTAACAATTCAATATGTACTTATGTTTGTATCACCTGCATATGTACTCAGCCAGTATGTTTTCATTGCGATGTGTATATACTGTATTCACTTGTTAACCTTCCCCTCAGGTGGCAGACTCAGTGGAAAGTGGCCCTTACACTCAGCTGACACAGGAGGAGTTGATCACACTGGTGGTGAGGCAGCAAGCCGACCTGTCCAGGAAGGACTCCAAGATAGTCGAGCTCGAGGAGTACATCGACAACCTGCTGGTCCGCGTCATAGACGAGAGCCCCAGCATTCTGCAGTCTCTTAATTCCAAGCCAGTATAAGGTAACGCTGTCTGGAAAAAGAGAGGCCCACTTAAGGACCTGGTTATGTACGTTGTGTGTTTGTACTGTTGTCACTGTGTACTGAGAGACATGGTCTCGATGAAGGTCAGTGAGCATATGCACTTTTTTAGTTTCAGAGTCAAATTAGTTTGAGAATGCTGGAAAATTGACTCTGAAGTAATAACATTTGATGAACACTTAATAACAAGCAAATAAAACATCTTTACACGAGCAAATGAATGTATTTGTTTTGACGGTACTGAAATTTGCTTTAAAAAGACGTGTTACATGAAAATCTATTCAACTCTGATTTTATGTACCATACTTGATGAAACTTGGGTTGAGCTTTATTTAATATCTTAAAGATGCAGATAAAAATGATTGTTTATTTTAAGCTGTTAGCTGGCCTTTTTTACTCTTTACACTGGGCTTTGTATAACTTATTGCTGTGCAATGAATGATCATATACATACCAACCATTCTAAATTCGTGCACCATGTTAATGAGGTAAGAATGTAATATTTCTCTCATATGATTTACGATTTAATGAGCAGCCTTATGATTCAATTTGTTTATATAACAAGTGTACATTGACATTTCCCTCCACTGATGAAATCTAATTTTCTTAATTCTTTTTCGATCCTTCTGGTTTGCATGTATTTTTCTTTTCTTTTTTCTTTTTAATTAACAACATTCCTCCCACGTTTTACTCACCACAGTTGAATGTCAGCTGGCCATCCAGTACTTAAAACATATTGTGCCTATTTTTGCTTCAAAGAGGTGTTATTCAGAAAACCAGCAATAACTAAAATTGCACCGCAGGTATGGCAGTTTTTCCTTTCATGTGGTTGTTATGTAGCCTGTGCACATATTTTTGAAATATTATACAAGTGAGTACAGAATCAAACTCTTCTATTGTGAGGTTTTGATCACTGTGATGTTTGTGTTGTATTTGTGAAATGAAAACTGAGAGATAATCAACAATGAATAATTAGAGGAATGGTAGTAGAGTCAGTGTCAGTAATAACCTACCAGCCTTGTCTTTGTATTTGAACCTACACTAATGAATGAACATATATGCATTTATATGACTATTATTTTATGTCTTGGCTGCATTGATAGCAATATTAATCTTCATGAATGTACAGATCTGTGCCTTCAAAACCTTTTTCATGACTTTAATGTCTGATTTGCTGGATGAGCTTCTTTTTCTGGACTGAGAGCTCAAAGAATGCACAGCCTGATGTGTTGAGTGTTTGTTGACATGATAATAATACTACAGTAAAACATGTAAAACTTCAGAGAGAAGCGATGCTGAGCAAAATACGGTTTTATTTGAAATAAAGACACTAATTATTTCACCGCATTGTTTGTATTCACAATTATTTACAATGTTTTATGTACATGCGGAAATAACTGAAATATCAGTCTATATAATTGTGATTTTATAAGCGCTCAAACAAGCTACATATTGCAGTGACAACTCCAGTTGTCTTTATTGGATGGATGCATGGATAGATGGACAGATGGATGCCCCACACCACAAGCAAAAGTAACAAATGTTGCCATGGAAACACACATAGCATGTTTTATCATACACAATAGCTGCCTTTCAGACCAAGAAATAGTGCAGTTGCACATCTGTCCTTTTATCATGGTACTTAACAACAATGTAAATGGAAATACCTATGTATTGTAAAATTAATAAAGATTTTTTACTTTTTTGTTGCAAATTTTCAAACCTTACAATTTAAAAAGAGATGTATTAGGAGGGACTAATAGCAAAGGTGGAAATACAAATGCAATACTGTATGTTGAATAGGATAAGTCATGTGATGTATTTTTCTTATTGTCAACATTTCCCATGAAAAGAGAAAACCAACACTGAACTGATCCTGTGTATCTGAAGCCCAGTATCACTTAAGCTCTGCTGTGCCACATACCAAAATTGTTGTCTAAAACCTATTAGAAACTCATGAGTGAGCCTCACAGTTGCACCGACTGCAGTGGCACTGTAGTTTATTCCCAATCACTCCCACATACACTACCCTGCTGCAAATACTCAGCAAACCAAATCTACTGCTTAGAACAGTCCCCACCAAATCCATTATTTACTCCTGCTTGGGAAACATTTGATGAAAACTACAGTGCCCAGCTGTTCTGGGACATCATCTATCCTTTTATAAAAATGAAAGTAAATATTTGCAACTTGTCTTGATTTTGTATTTTCTCTGCTGATCCCCTTGACTAGCGTTTTTTTTTTTTTTTTTCACTAGACGCTCAGGTGTCTGATGGTCGCCCAGTCCTCACAAACATATTGTGCCTATTTTTGCTTCAAAGAGGTGTTATTCAGAAAACAAGCAATAAATAAAACCAAGCAGCTGCTAAATACGTAACGTATTTTGAATTGCACCGCAGGAATGGCAGTTTTTCCTTCATATGGTTGTTACTGTGCACATAGTTTAAAATATTATTCAAGTAATAGTGCAGAATCAAACTCTTCTGATAATAATAAGATACTTTGATCAACGTGAGGTTTGTTTTGCAAAAATGAAAATAGGATTGGCTCGGCGCTGAGAGCCACACAAAGGCAGGGGAAGTCAGGCAGTGCTGACAGACGGATAAACACGCTGTTGGTTTGGGTCTTTTCATGAAATCTGTCAACAGACATAAAACTACAGAATTTTGCTTGCTTTATCCTTGAAGTAAATAAAAGTTGCAGTGTGTAGGATTCAGTTTAGTCTATTGTAACATTCATATCTTTGTTTTCATCGTTTAAAATCACCTAAAACTAAGAATCATTCTTTTCATGCTTTTGTTACCTTAGAATGAGCCTTTATATCCACAGGGGAATGGGTCCTCCTCCACAGAGTCTGCCATGTTTCTACAGAAGCCCAGAACAGACAAACCAAACACTGGCTCTAGAGAGTAAAGGTTCCTACTGTACACACTTGGAAAGGAAGAGGGGAGAGTATTCAGTTGTTTGCAATCTGCAACCCTCAGTGTTAGATGCCACTAAATCCTACACACTGGTCCTTTTAGTCAATATTTAAATCTGAAAAAAAGAGGATTTTTCATGGTCCAGACACAAAGATAGATAGAAGTGAGCTCACTAAGTCTCTGTAGCTTGCTCTTCATCTTTGCTTAAGGCTAGCACATTGAGGCAACATAAGTTATTACAAGAAACACATTCAAATCTTCAACCAAACTGTCGGCGGTCGAGCTGCATTGTGGCAATATAGACATATGTGGCATGAAAACAATGATATCTCTGGCTTTGCTGTATTGATTAAGATTCTATTTTTCTACATCGTCCATCATAAGTTAGACAGTGTAATAGAAGGGCAATGCTAAACTGGTGGAGTACTCTTTTAAGCCTACTGGCAACAGGTCTGACACCAGTTTACAGAATTATGTGGCTACCTTGAGTAAAAGTTAGATCGCCATACAGTTATGAATCCTATGTACACCTATCTAATTCTGTGTTGCTTGTCTGTTACCAGAATGAGATGAGTATAATCTACTGTCCAAAGAAACATGGACTAACCAACAGCAGCCTAAAACACAGGAGCTTCACAAAACCACGCTGGCAGTGGCGCAGTTATTGGCTGAGATGCCAATACGACGGCGGCATGTGAACATTTTGCGAAGCTCAGCACGGAAGCGGTCGTGCAGCCAAGCGTAGAGGAAAGGGTTACAGCAGGATGAGCTCATTGCACACAGGTGACAGAGCAGCTGAATGAGCAGAAAGTACCGCTTATCAATCAGGTCAATGTCAATGTCTCGCAGCACATTGAACACACTGATGGGCATCCAGCAGATGCCAAAGGCTGCCACCACCAGGCTCACCAGACGGAAGGTCTTGCGTTTGCGCATCCGCTGAGCCTCTGCCTGGCTCTGGGTGTGGTGGCCAGGTACGACACAGTTTCGCAGTTTGACAGAGATGCACAGGTAGGAGATGCAGAGCGCCGACAAAGGCAGGACGTAGGTGATGAAGAGAGTGCTGTAAGCGTAGGCCAGCCGCTCCCTCTCCTGGCCCATCCAGAATTCATCGCAGATGGTGAAACCTTCATTCTTGAACTCCACATGGTAGGTGTGAGCCACAGCCGGGGCCACCAGACCGCAGGACAGCAGCCAGATCCCAGACAAAAGGTAGGTGCACGCCAATACTGAGATTCGCTTTTTAAGAGGATGAACTGTGGCATAGTATCTAAAATGAAGCAGAGAAGAAGAAAGCCTCAGAGATATCTTAGATTAGATCTATCTAACTAAACTGTTAGAAACAATTCTAGAGACATGCCAAATATGAGGTCTAGTGTGTAGGATTTTGTGGAATATTGTGTTAAGGGTTGCAGAGTACAACCAACTGATGCACTGTCTACACATGTTCAGATATTTTTAAATATTTTACCTCTGTCAGTTCTGTCCACACGATCTTCAATTTACAATATCTGCACAAACCCTAGAACTCCAAACACTTGCCGGTATTAGCTGTCTTCAGACGTCTCCCCTTGTCACAAAGTGCACAGACAAACATTACCTTTTTCAAAATACCTACTGTAGACGTCATCACCACACCAGAGCTCATTCAAAGATACAGGTTTGCCCTGGACATCCATAAGTTTTGCTTCCAGTCCCACCACCCTGGGCCTGATCCAAAACTATTGTATCTGGCAGACTTAAAACTGCAAGTGCTGACATGGACCAAACAGCATTGGGCGCAGCAGACGTCTCCATTCCTCCATGAAGAGAATTTGCTGTTGTTGTTCCTGTCTCTGGTGTAAGCTTATTACTAAAGCTGTCAAAGTTAACGCGTTAATAATGAGTTATGCAAATTCCTTTTAACACCACCAATTTTTTTTTGACGCATGATTAACGCACTACATTCTGTAATTATGACCCTCAGCTCACCCTGTAGATTGGGAAATCAGGAAGTGATGCAGCAGTAACACTGTGGGTGGGAAGCAGAAACAAAGCTCTGTGAGCAGAGATGGATAAAGACAGGGATCTTATGGACGGCAAGTTCAGCTTCTGATGATTCTCTCAATAAGACTGAAGTTATCTGCATTTACTGTCGATATGAATTGAGTTACCACAGGAGTACGTTGAGCTGCTTAAAAAAAAAAAATGGATTTTTGGTTGACCTTTGCAAGTGTAAAGTTGGACACTACTTTGTGTTAGTATTACTAAGTAATGTTACATTCAGGCCAATATGTCCATCTGTTGTTGCTTGTTGGGCTTGAGTTTGCCATGGTATGCTGTCAGCATACTTTTTGAGCGTGCAGTACGTTTGAGGAGAGTCTGGAAAATATTCTGGACAGTGTTTGTCATTGTTTTGGTTTGTTGCAATAATAATTAAAATATATTGGCATAAAGCAAGCATATTAGTCACCTCTCATGTTGATAAGAGTATTAAAAACTTTTACTTTACAGATAAACAATGTGCAATTAATTTGTGATTAACCTCAAGTTAATGATAGACAACTATGCAAATAATTGCGGTTAAATATTCTAATTGATTGACAGCCCTATTCATTACACCAAGCAACTACGTACATGCACAAAGTAAGGACTGTACATCATAGTTTCCCAAATGCACAGTAACCAGAGTTTTGAAAAATCTGCACCTTAGAGGGCGCTTCAAAAAAATCTTCATTTTAGTGACCTTAAACTCTTTTTGGACAAGACGAGAGGACGAGAGAATGAGAGGCCAAAATGTGGAGGAAAATATCAATTTTCAAAAATATCAGTATACATGTAGACAGTGCCAGAAATGTCTCCCATGTGCTATGCTTGAAGGAGAACTATAGAGGCCAATGGGAAAATCCAAAACGTGACTGGCCCTATCTGTTTGGTATGTAGCCACTGTTTGGTTTGATTGTTCTGGGCTACTGTAGATCACTATGATGAACTCCGTCGAAGAGGACCCACTGCCTATGTAGATGTCGCATTCTAAGGTACAAAAAAAACACAGCAATTCTTATTTCCAGGTGATTATAAACTAATAAACACATAGTTATGAATATTATATTCAGTTTCTGCCAATATATCCCCCTAAATCCAACACACTGGACCTTTAATTTTAGCACTGAATTAACAAGTCATTGGCTGCCAAAAGCAATTAACAAGCAAATGACAACACAGCTGTTCAGCACCACAGATAATACAGCTTCAGAAATGACCACAGAAGAAAGTCAATGCCAAATTGACAGTGTCCAACCAAAAAACAAAAACAAAATCATTTTCACAAAGGTTTTATAAAAATCAAATCCAAATTCAGCTCTGTCGCTGTATCCATGGTGAACAGACAAAGCAGCGTTTTTGCTTCTGGCTCACAGCTTGGTGTAAGGAGCACAAAACCTTGGAGTCCTGAGCAGTGGGGGGGGGAGTTTTAGGGACTGAAAGATCATCTTCTGGCCTTTTGTCCTTCAGCCATACGGGTTTAAAGTAAGGGAAATGTGTGGGATAGGATTATACACAATATCTGTATAGAGCTGAAGAGGATCTGTTGTGTGTAGTGTAGTGTGAGTGGCCAGTTTTTACAGGTAAATGATATGCTGTCTTCAATCGTGAATAAAACAAGATATTGAATTTTCATGGCCTTGCAAATAACATACGATAACATAAGATTCGAGTGCAGGGAGGGAAGTACATCGAGATTTTATTATTTTCCTTGAGATGTTTACCAATACAGTTCAGAATTTGTATGAGATCCCTACCGTCATGTGGTTCTGGAAACTCAGAGAATGAGAACAGTTATTTTCAGAGCTGGCACAAGAATCGACTGCACTCAGGTGTTTACAGATTTGCTTACTGCCACTGCAATTTTGTGCAAAAAGAGATACTGACATTCATTGTGAGGAATCATGTACCTTATTATTTTTTCATAAATCTGTACAGTAGCTTATTACAGGGTGGCTGATTGGGTTTGAATAAATGCCTCAAGATGAAAACCTTGCTCATCTGATGGTAGTGAATAGCAATATGCTGAATATTCTTCAGGTTTTTGAGGGTTTATTTTATAGAGTCTGTCCTTAGCCTTCTGGCTCCTTTTCACTTACCTATCCACACCAATTGCAGTGAGAGTGAAGACCGACACATACACCGTCACAGGCTGAATGAGGTACACCAGGTAGCACATGAAGCGACCAAACACCCAGCCGTGTGGGTTGAAGGCGTAGGCCAGTGTGAAAGGGACACACGTGGCACACATCAGCATGTCAGAGAAGGCCAGGTTTCCAATGAAAAAGTTGGTGACGTTGTGCATCTTGCGGGTGCGGCAAATGACATAGAGGAGCAGATAGTTGCCAAAGACTCCCACCAGAGCCACCAGAGTGTAGCAGGGAATGATGAGCAGCTTGAAAGACTGTAGCAGCTCCACACCCACAAACTGGGGGCTGCGCTTGGTGGAGCCGTTCTGCAGCGCCACCTCAAAGACCTGGCCGGTGTCACTGCCGTTCACCTCATGCATCACAGGAGTGAGCTCAGCTGACCAGCCGCTGCCTGTGCCCTCCATCCCAGAAGGCTGACGTCAACCTGGAATGCTGAAATCATGAATACGATAAACTGCAACTGCAACTATTCAGCAACATGCACACTGAGATACCACTGCCAAGCCAAGGATATGCTGAATGGCTGGTGGACATAGATAAATAATAAACCCCCACTACTGTAGACAGTCATTTAATTAACTCCACTTGAAATGTTCCTTTTCATTCTAATCCAGGATGAATGCACTGCAGATAAGCTGTACGTAGGCTTCAGTTTGATGAGCAAGTTCCTCTGTCCAATTATAATTCCTGTCTTTGTGATAACATATTTTCCAGGTCTGTATCGCTCCAAAAGGAAAATTACTGTACTGACAGTAACTTCCCTCTGTTAGAATACAATGAAGTTTCTCATGGCTAGCTACATGTAGAAACCTTTACAGAGATGTGTTTCTGTTATTGTGTTTTAAGTCTTATGATTGGGGTTCTTGCTGTAAACACGATTGTCTGTCACTGTCAGGTGCCTTTCAGGTATTTCATCAGTTTCAGAACTGCAACATAAACACTGAATATTAAATTGAATGCCGCTGCATGGCTCAGACCTGCTCTGGACTATTATCTGCCATACACTCTGTATGTGCAGTGTTTATGTGCACAGCACAGGCTGCACTGGTTCTAAGTGAGGGCCAATTTAACATCAGTGGGGAAATATAATGGACATATTATGACAACATGACTGCATGAGAACATGCTGACATAAAATGGTGACTAAGAGGATTTACTCTGTGGCACATATGGATAAGACTTGTTGCATTTTGAAGTTACTGTTCAGATTTAAAAAAAAAAAAAAAAAAAAAAAAAAGATGCTAGTGAGACTCTACAAAAAAATAATGATTTCCCTGAAAAGTGTGGCTGAGATTGAAAAAAATAAAATACAATACAGCAGCTGCCAATTTTTTTTTTTTTTTTTTCAAGAAGAACAATTTCTGCTTCAGATTCAAACAAAATGTCCCGAACTTCCAAATTCTCCAGATGGCAGTTTATCAAAATACATTCAGGAAGCAAGATGAGGTATTGGATTATAGCCATGTCTCCAATAAGAGTAAAAACAATAATTATTTATTCATTTATTTATTTATTTACAGTATATGAACATTTTGTACTTGTTATGTATCTCTAACAGCAGAGTCTAATGATAATGGGTATCATGTGCTGTGGACTGATTTTTTTTGCAGTATGTCTAAACCATGTTTTCTGTATGTGCTCCCTTTGATTCGACATTTTTAATAAAAAACGTCTGTAATCACTCAGAGAAAACACAAGCTCAGCAGCAGAACTGACGCAACAATATCAGATGTAGTAAATTCATAGTAATGCAGTTTGCATATCTAGTGCGACAGAGAAAACTGTAACATTTGATTCACAAACTGTTTCTGATATTTTCGTCATTAAGAGAATACAATACTCTGACAGGAATTAATTGCATATATGTATGGAAAATATACAATTTACTTGCTCTGCCAGGTAAATTAATTATCGAAACATGACTGTATCCCACTGCCAGGCAGAATAAATACATACTCTGATAACGAAATCAAACACATTTGAACAGGTAAGTTGGACAACCACTAATAAAAGGCATTAAAAAATGATCACTGCATCTTGTTGAGTCCTTTAAAAAAAGATTCAGCCTCGGAATATTGCGATGCAGTTACAAATTTCGCCAAACCATGACCAATTTAAAATGCTCTAAACTCCTGCAAGTAAGAAAAGCGTTTGAAATCTCTTACAATGAAACAGAATTGACGCATGCATTTGCATTATCTCCATCGGTCTCTTTTCAGCTCAAACATTTGCTGCACTGACTTTTAGTTGTGCCTAAACTGAATCTACATGGCATTTCGCATGTGGAATTTGAGGAAACAAAAAAAAGTAGCACACCTACCGTGTGTTGATCCTCAGTTTTCAGATAGAAGATATCAGTGGGATCCAGCGCGGAGCTTCTGTGCGCCTCTGGAGAGATGCGCGCTCCTCGCACAAATGAGCGCACGTGTTTCTGAGCAGCACTAAAGACACGCATCCATGCACTCTGACCATTAGGAATTTAATACATCAGATTTGACTAGCACTGCAATGACTTAAGTGACAGTCGATTTTAAGCGTGGAGAGAGAGAGAGAGAGAGAGAGTTTCCATTTGCGATCAACAGGTGCGGTAGGGCTGGCTCGCTTTTTCTATGTGTGCCTTTAAACCTGACTGACAGCTCTGGGGACTGAAAGAGCTTCTGACGCGCGTGTCTCCGTGGATGGTAGCTTTACCCTGCACAGAAAATCACGTACAGTACTCCCAGAATACATCACTGTAACAACACCGACAAAAAAAAACAAAACAACCTATTACTGTAGGCTGATGAGCAGTTACAGTTTGGCTGACCTTTTCATTTCTGCATGTTTATCCTCTATATGTGCTCACTATAATATTCCTACTGACTGCTGTCAGATAAAGCACAATATCTAACCAGCTGATATTTGTTTTTTCATATTGAGAAATACAGAGGAAGCCGCTAAAGTCAGATATGAGTCATGAGTAATGGTGACAAGCACCTTCTTATGCATGCCCAAAAGGTCCACTGCTGAGGTCACTGCCACAGTGGCTCTAATGTTTGAACTGTCATCCCTCACCACTCACAAATATTTGTAAAAGGGGCCGAGGGGCAGGCTGATAAGGAGGTGACGTGATGTGATGTCTGAATGTTGAGTGGCCTTTGTATGGAGGACAATCAGAGCTGGAACTCTGCAGGCATGGTGTTTCATTTGTGCAAACTGATTCTCAGTTTCTCTTAAACAAGGCAGGGCAGGGCAGAGACAAAACAATCTTGGCTATATGCTGGCATAAGTGGATTGATTCTGAATCAATAGCCCGGTGTGAAGCCAAACGACCAGGCCTACTGGTGGGATATTCACAGTGGAGGTTGTATTCAGTGTGTCTGAGACTTCGCTGCTTTCATTTAAAGCTGTAAGAGTTTGGTCGTAATCGATAGAGGTTAACTCTCCCTACTCTTCCTCCTGCATGCAGCCAATCGCAGCTCAGTCCCATGTCAGCAGGATCTGTTAAGGCAGAATTAAACCAGGACTTATTCTTCCGGTCAAAACACAGAAAAACAGAAAATACTACATCAATTACAGTTTATACTTTTCTTTCTGACTAAAATGTGTCATATAACTTTCAAGTCAGACTTAACATTGTTGGTCAGCTAATTCAATTAGGACAGAGTCAGTGCAGGAAACCATGAGCAGGTTATGAGACAATGGGCCCCTGGGCACAGACATGCAAAAAGCCCCACCACCTCTCCCAAATAGGAGCAAGACACAGACTTTGTGGTAATTTTGTATGTTTTATTCATTTATTTATGTTTGCTAAATCACATCTCTTTGTGGTAATTTTGAGTGAGGTCATTTTGTATCTCCTTGTGGGTTTTTTTTGTGTCTCTTTGATGTAATTTTGTATCTCTTTAGTCATTTTGTGTCTCTTCAATGTCATTTTGTATCTCTTTATAGTCATTTTATCTCTTTGACATTATTTTTTTCTCTTTATAGTAATTTTGTGTCTTTTTGATGTCATTTTGTATCTCTTTAGTCATTTTGTCTCTGACATCATTTTGTTTCTCTTTATAGTCATTTTGTGTCTTTTTGATGTCATTTTGTATCTCTTTATAGTCATTTTGTGTCTCTGACATCATTTTGTTTCTCTTTATAGTCATTTTGTGTCTTTTTGATGTCATTTTGTATCTCTTTATAGTCATTTTGTGTCTCTGACATCATTTTGTTTCTCTTTATAGTCATTTTGTGTCTTTTTGATGTCATTTTGTATCTCTTTAGTCATTTTGTGTCTATTCAACATCATTTTGTTTCTCTTTATAGTCATTTTGTGTCTATTCAATGTCATTTTGTTTCTCTTTATAGTCATAGTTTATAGTCATTTTGTGTTTCTTTGACGTTGTTTTATGTCTCTTTGTAGGCATTTGGTGTGTCTTTGATGTAATTGTGTGTCTCTTTAGTCATTTTTGTGCCTTCTTGTGGCTGTGGCTCTTTTTGGTCATTTCGTATCTCTTTGTTGTAATTTTTGAGTCTCTTCCTGGTCAGTACGTGTTAAATTGAGTGACATTTTGTAAGTGAAGGTCAGGGGGCCACTGACACTTTTGGGCCCTTAGTAATCTATCCATGCTATTTATCCACTGTCCCTCCAAACCACAGACCTATTTTTATAACTTGGTGGGTATGATATTATGGCAAAAAAAGATTTCTTCTAAAGCAAAAAGTTATAAAGGAAGACAAAGATAAGTACAGCAGAAAATTGCAGGTGGCAGTACAGTGAAAAAGGGGTTATTCAAGCTCTCCTTTAGTTTCAAGGTCAGCTTAAATGTAGCAGAATCTCCTTTTCTTGTTCAGTCAATAGCAAACACTTACATGTAAGACGACGAGACAAAAGCTGAGACAGCATTTCAAAAGGTAACACTGTTTGCTCTGGTTGCATCACTCTGATATTTGCCTGACATTTCATTTTCCCTGCAGGAAAGCTATTTGCATTACAAAATTACATTTTACATAACATAAACATGCATGTTTCATACATGTATGACCATAAATGCTGTGCAGCTACAGTCGTCCTGTTTGACATTATGGGCCTAATTTGTCTAAGATAACAAGCAGACTGCTGGGAGAACTGTGTGGTTTTGCCCCATATTTAAGCAGCGGGTAGTCTCGCTCACCAGACCTTTCTCAAGAAAAGAAAGGTCTGGCTGGGCCGACTCTCACTTTAAGATTGGAGAAAAAAACGCCCCGGCCACTTGTATTTCTTTCAACCAATCACAATCGTTCTTGGCTGTGCCACAGCAACGGTGCACTTGCAAAAATATTGCCAGGGGGAAACAGGTTTTGGTGTAACGCCCACAAAAATATCGCCTACAGGACGCGAACCATGGCAGAAAAATGGCTACATCCCCGCAAGATCAAACACCGCAAAAGTTAGTAAAGGACGTGTTGAAAACTACAACCAGAGGTGGTAGGGCGGGACTTCAGCGGGTGGCTCGTTCCGCCCAATGAGAGGCTGATCTTTGCAGCGAACTTCCACCCACTCAGACTAAGCAGAGGGTGAAAGACATGCTCAGATCTTTTGCTTCAGTAAAAGTAGTAAAACTATGGCGCAGAAATACTCTGTTACAAGTCTGCACTCAGAATTTTACGTAAGTACAAGTAGCCTACAGCATCAAGTTCCACCACCAAAATATACTTAAATCACCGATAGTACTTGCAGAATGGAATCTAGTGTTCTCAGACAAATGTAATGGAGTAAAAAGCACAATAGGCCTCCACTTAGTAGTAATCGAAGTACAAATTAACGCAAAATATTTAAATCGCGGTATGAGATCGCTGCTTGTTCTCGCGATATTTCGGCCGCGCTTTGGAAAGCAGAGCTAGATGGTAAACAAACATGGCAGCACACCGGTAAGGTAAGACATCACGTTTACATGTCGTTTTCTATATGTTCTCTGACATTTATCTTAACGATATGAGGTGGTCTTTATGGAAAAAAAGCTTGTTTAGTGGACTAACTTTGCACTTGAAGGGATGCCCGTTCACTTACGTTTTAACAGGTACTATGCGCCCCGGCTGTATCTAGGCTAATGGCTAACATGCTAACTATTATTTTTATGTCACTAGTCACTTGAAACNCTAACATGCTAACTATTATTTTTATGTCACTAGTCACTTGAAACAAATTTAGGACGATAGGAGACAGGTTGAAATAAACCGAAATTTACCTTTAACAGGCAAGTCAAGGCTTGTGATCAGCAGTTTTGAAGGTTAAAGTGAGACTCGTGACTAACTCAGACACACTGCTTTAGAACGATCATAGTCACAAACTCACCGACTCTCCTGTTCAGTGACAGACACGAGACTGAATAGTTGCTAAGCACAGCAACACTGTAGTGTTAAAATCCGCCACAGTATGTCTTGTGCTTCTCAAAGAGTGAGCATCAGAGAGAGTTTATCTCCAAGACCAAGTACACCGTGTGTGAGAGAAACTAAACATCAATCCCTGAGCAATAAAGAGGAAGGTGATCAGTCTTCATGATGTGATTTTCCTCCCTGCAGTCAGCTGTACATTGGAGTTTAACAACAAAGAAGTGTAATTTACAAGGGGGTGGGGTTGGGGTGCGCAGGGACATATCCCCTGCACTTGTTCAGAGAGCAGTATAAGATCCCTCCACTTTTTACAACCCAAAAACTGACATATGGTTAAACTGTTGTGTTATTTTCTTTAATTTTATTTATTTAATTAATTTATTTATTTTAATTTATTTAGTTAAACTGTGGAACAATGCCAATATAAACCTAAAAATGTGTAATTCAATTTTAGTTTTCAAAAGAATGGTTTACAAAGCTCTTTTTTTGATTTGTATTGATAATTGTGTTGTATTTTTATACCAGGCTTACTGTATTGTGTGTGATAACTGAGTAAAAACACTGCTACTACTACTATTGAAGGGATGAACACCATTCCTCCTCAATGTATTATCTCATTTATGTATATAACCTTTATTTCATCAGGTAATCTCATTGAGATCGAGATCTCTTTTACAAGACAGACCTGAGCACAGCTGATAGAAAACAAAAACAAACCGGACATCTAGTAGACATCAGTATCTAGTATCAATGTTGCATGACTGAAACTTCTCCCATTTGCCAAGCGTTCAGCAGAACTACAGTGGCTGATGCAAAAACTTGAATGACCCTATCTAGAGCCAGACTTAGGTTTGTCCCTTCTGGGCTACTGTAGAAACAACATGGCGGACTCCATGGAAGAGCACTGACTCGGTATGTACACATCTCGTTCTGGTAACAAAAACACAACGATTGTTATTTAAGGGTGATTATAAACTATAAAATGCTCTAAGATTATAAATTCTAAACATAGTTATGAATATTATATACAATGTCTGCCAATAGACAAAAGTTTATCAGGTGGGTCAATGTATTGATCAAATTTATCATTTTTTGTTGTATTTTGCTGTATAAAAATATTTTTGTCAGAGCCATTGTGTTTTGTTCTACCTTGTGTAGGGTTATCTGAAAATCGAAAGCCCTTTTGAGGATTTGTGCCTCTGCTAACTGTCTTCCTCCCACCTTTGAAATCAAAATTCTGCCCCTGGTTGAATAATCCAACTTTCACAGCCAATGGATAAATGAAGCTCAGCGTAAATTCAATCAGGAAGACCTTTCCATGCTCATTCATTCACAATTCTCCCTCTCTCACTCCCACTGCTTCCTCCAATCAGCTGCCTCCAGGCGTGCACT